TTGAACGCAGTCATTTTGTATGTTCAAGACAAAACTTCTAGATCCTTTTGGGGTAAAGATTTCTAAACATTCACCAACCTGAGTTAAGAAATGCTTCCTCCTCTCTGTCTTATATGGTCTAGCCTTTTCTGAAACTATGTCGCCTGGTTCTAGGGAAATTATCTTTCCTGCAGCAACCCTGTCAAACCCTGTAAGAATTCTGTATATCTGAATAAGAATACCTCTCATTCATCTAATATCTGTCGAATATAGGCCCATTCTCCTCAATTTCTCCTCAAAGAATATTCTTGCCATTCTATGGATCAGTCTAGTCTGGTGAACCTTCTCTGATCTCCCTCCAAGGCAAGTACATCCCTTCTTAGGCATAGAGACCACAACAGTGCATAATAATCCAGGTGCAATGTCACCAAGGGTCTAAACAATGAATGAGATGGCAAAAAACATGGCAGATGCAGCTTAACGTAGGGAAGTGCACACTTTGGGAGGAAGAATTAAAAGGCAGCCAATTATTTAAATGAAAAGAGACTCTAAAAATGTGCAGGTCAGAGAAGCCCAATTAGCATGCAGATGCAGCAAGACCCTAGTTGTCAAAGTAGCAAACATCTGCCATTTACCCACTCCCTGCGCATTAGAGGGTCAGTTAGCTCAGTTGGCAGGACAGCTGGATTATTCTGCAGAATGATGCCAACAGAGTGGATTCAATTCCACCATGGTTGAAGTTACAATGAAGGACTCTCTTTCTCAACCTCCTTCCTTGTCTGAGGTGTGATGACCCTCAGTTTAAACCATCACCAGTAATCTCTTTCTAATGAGAGAGGACCATGGTGATTTTACCTTAACGGGAGCTGCTCGCTTCATACCATGGGCCATCAAATATCGTGTAGCACTAAGGCTGGCTAGGTTCTGTCCATTATTGTAGATGTAGCTACAGATAGTTGCACAAACAGCTGATCAAGAAAAGTCAACGTATATTTACAAATGTGACAATGTATATACGGTGACGTGTCACCTGCATCACCTAAGTGCACTCAGAAGGTCTCCTTCTTTCTTTCTTTCCCACTACATCTCAGTGCAGTCCCAGTTGTGTTGCTGGGTGAAGGGAACCTAACCTACAAATGACCGTATTGGTCCCTTTGAGTTTTGGTTGGCTAATACTGTGGCATTTGTGGCTAGAGAGAATAGACATAATGCGTCCTTGGTTTGAACTCCCACAGGGCTGAGGGGGTTAAGTAAGGTGGAAATGGAAGGTTCAGCCACCTCTGGAATGTCCAAAGAGAAAACTCCTCGAGGTGCTGCCTACGGTTCCTTCTCTGGCTTGGTGCATACTGACAACATCCTGTCTCCTTATGAAGAAGGGCCATCTGCAGTGAAATCAAGGTCCCCTGTCCCACTGTCACATTGCCATTGGCTGCCCGAAATGTGTTGGTCTTCCAGAGCAAGCAGCTGACTTCAACTGAATGTTGCAGGCTGGGACATTCCAAGATCCACGACTACATGCTGAGGAACGCACTAAAGCTTAGGGCAGCTGCCACCAAGGCACAGTGGGGGAAGATCACTATCTAAGATGTTTCTGCCAAAGTTAAGTGGGGGTCCATTCAGTTATCAAATCCAAATATATGTAAATATGGTTTTGTATAAGCAAGAAATGCCTTGGGTTTGTTTGTTGTCCATATGTAATGACTATAGAGTCGAAGTGCTCTAGTAACTAGGCATGTATATAAACATTCTTTATGAACATTGTATATTTTTGAAATTCAAAAAAGCTCTCTGGGAAGAGTGTTCCCATAGCTGGTGTCATGGTGAAGCAGTCTGGGAAAGGTTCTGCACAGTTGGTGTCACGATGAAACAGTCTGGGAAGTGTGCGCTGGTTGTTGGAAGAAACAAACAGTGACATCACAGGAAAACTGGAGTGGTCTTACCCGATTGTAGGATTAGAGGCTCCAAGGAAGAGAACTGATTCGTAAGTAGCAGGTAAGTATTTACAACTTCTGTCACTTATGGTTTGTAAGGTCCTCTTATAGTTGACAGTTTCTAAGGGCTATATTCTGTAGCAAGAAATAACAGGAAAGGCCGAGAGAAATTGATATTATTTGATATTAAGCATCTTCCAAAAGGTTTAATTTAAGGGGGTAAGTTATGGCAGGAGAACTTAAAGCCCTGGTGTGCTCCTTCTGATGTATGTGGAAAGCTAGGTACATTTCCAGTCCCCAGGACCAGTATGTGTGTAGGAAGTGTCTCCAGCTGCAGCTCCTGATAGCCTGGGTTTTGGAGCTAAAGCGGTGGCTGGGAGCATCTGCAGAGCTGGGAATTGTAGGTAGCACATATACAGAGACGGTCACACCACAGGATAAGATTCCACAGGCAAAAAGGGAACAGGTGACCACGAGGCAGAGTAAGAGGACTAGGCAGACAGTGCAGGAGTGTCCTATGACTGTTCCCTTGAAAAACAGATATAACACTTTGGACACTGTTGAAGGGAATGTCCTCTCAGGGGAAAACAGCAACTACCAAATTCATGGTACCATAGTTGGCTCTGCTGCATAAGGGAGGAGTAAAAAGTGTGGAAATGCTGTCATAGGGGATTCAATTGAAAGAGGAATAGATAGGCATTTCTGTGGCTGCAAACAAGATTCCAGAATGGTATTAAAACAAAGAACTGCAGATGCTGGAAATCTGAAACAAAAACAGAAATTGCTGAAGAAACTCAGCAGGTCTGTCATCATCTGTGGAGATAAAGTAGAGTTAAAATTTAAGGTCCAGTAACCATTTTCAAAACTGTGTTACCTCCCTGGTGCTAGGCTCAAGGATGGACTGCAGGACATCATGAAGGGGACTGGTACCATCAACATATGTGAAAAAGGGGATAAGATTCTAAAAGCAGAATATAAAGAGCTCGGAAACAAGCTGAAAAGTAGGACCTTAAAGGCATGTGCTAATAGCAGAAATATATTGGATGAACATATGACTAAAGAGATGGTGTGAATGGGACAGTTTCAGATTTCTGGGGCATTGAGACCAGTTCTGGGGGAGACGGGAACATCAAGGGGTATTCAATATTTAGGATGGGCAGACATAAAAGAAAATGCATTACTGGTTAAAGAGGATATGAATACAATACTGAGGCAAAACATTAGCTCAAACAATGTAGAATCCATGTAATACAAGGGGTAAGAAAACATTAGTAAGGGTGGTATATAGACCACCAAACTCCAGTGGCAATGTTGAGAGTGGCATTAAACAGGAAGTCAGAGGTCCATGAAGTAAAGGAACATCTGTAATTACGGGTGACTTAATTTGTATACAGACTGAATGAATCAAATTAGTCACAATACTGTGGAGGAGGAATTTCTAAAGTTCCATATGGGATGGTTTTCTTGACCAATATGTTGAGGAACAACTAGAGAACAGGTCATCTTACATTTAGTATTACACAATGAGAAAGGAATAATTGGTAACATAGTTGTGAGAGACCCCTTGGGGTGAGCGATCACAATTTGATAGAATTATTCATCAAAATGGACGGTGAGGTGGTTAATTCTGACACTAGGGTCCTGAATCTTAGTAAGGGAAACTACAATGGTAGGGGATGTGAATTGACTATGATGGATCCAGAAATGTTACTAAAAGGAATGACAGTGGATAGGCAATGGCAAACCTTTATACAGCAAATGGGTGAACTACAAAAACTGTTTATTCCTGTCTAGCACAAGGAAGATTCCACACAGTGGACAAACCATAGCTTATGAGGTAAGTTAGAGATAGAATCAGATGTAAGAAAAAAAAAGAACAGACCTGAGGATTGGGAACAATTTAGAAGCTAAGGATGACCAAGGAATTGATCAAGATGGCGAAAATCATATGAGATTAAGCTTGTGGGGGACATAAGAACTGACTGTACAAGTTTTTATACGTATGCAAAAAGAAAAATTGGTAAAAACTAATTTAGGTCCCTTACAGTCAGAGATGGGAATTTATCACGGGAAACAAAGAAATGGACGATGAACTAAATTCATATTTCATGTTTGTCTTCACAAAGGAGGAAACAGATAATATATCATGGATGATGGGGAACACAGGGTTTAGATGAGAGGAGAAATTGAAGTAAATCTGTATTAGTAGAGAAATGGTGTTGCAGAAATTGATGAGTGAAGGCTGATAAATCCCAAGGGCCTGATAATCTATATCCCAGAGTACTGAAGGAAGTGGCCCTAAAAATAGTGGATACCTTGGTGGTCGACTTCCAAGATTCTTTAGACTCTCGACGAGTTCCTACAGAGTGGAGGGTACCGAATGTAACCCACTATTTAAAAAGGGACACAGAGAGAAAATAGGGAATTATAGTCCAGTGAGCCTGACTTCAACAGTGGGGAAGATGCTAGAGGCCATTATCAAGGATTTTATAGCACAGCACTTAGAAAACAGTGGTAGAATCAGACAGAATCAGCATGGATTCAAAAAAGGGAAAGCATGCTTGACAAATGTACTAGAATTCTTCAAGGATGTATCTAGCAGAGTTGACTGACAGAGCCAATAGACGTGCTTTATTTGGACTTTCAGAGGTTTTTGACAAAGTCCCTCATAAAAGATTAATGTGTAAGATTAAAGCACCTGGGATTGAAAGTGATGTGTTGAGATTAATAGAAAATTGGCTAGCAGACAGGAAACAAACAGTAGGAATAAATGGCGGCAGGCAGTGACTAGTGGGGTACCGCAAAGATCAGAACTAGGATCCTGGCAATTCACAATATATGTTAATTACTTAGATGAGGGAATTAAATGTAATATCTCAAAATCTGGAGATGAATATGTATGATGTTAACATTTAATATAGAAAAGAAATTAACTACTTACCAGAGTCTCACCAGACAACTGGCTCCTTCCTCCAATTCCAATCAGCTCTAATAAATCTAGTTCTGTCTCTGTAAACATTCTTTTTTGTTTCAAAAATATACTTTATTCATAGATTATCTATAAGTAAATACAAGTACAAAACAGTTCCATACAAATGCTGCAGAAAATACATTGGAATTTCGACATTCCTCAGTAGAGCTTCGATCTAGATGCAACAAAAAAGGCAGTTTCCAAACACGAAACTATTTACATTCCATTAAGGATGTGAGGTTTTCTCGAAACAAACACTCTTGTTAAATTTTGGCAGGAAGACATTAGATGGTGGTCTTCTCACACTGCACCTTGGCTGTGTCTCTGATGACCTGCTTAAGGGATGGGGCCAAATGGGACCAAGCAGGATCTCATCTCACCTCACCTTATCTCAGCTCATTTCAGCTTATCTCATCTCATATCACCGTGATGTTGACTGCCCATGCCATGAATTCCATACCTCATCTGTTCCTCTCAGTGATGCTGATCACCTGTTTGGGGTCCTCACCTTGCCCACTTTTCTAAGTGATGCTGACTGTCTGCCTGTCACAGGGTCCTCATCTTGCTCACTCCTCTCAGTGATACTGACTCTTCGTCAGAGGTCCTCATCTCACTAGTTTCTCTCTATTCATAATTCCAATCACTTGGCGGTCATATAATTCGTTCCCATCACTCTCTCTTCCTCTTTCCCCACGCAACTCAACTTCCTTTAAGAACTTCCCCAACCCACTCCCTGAACAGCCTTTTTTGGAGGAAAGTAAGAATTAAGTAGTCAGACTTAATGTTGTAGGCTGCACCAAATAATTTGACAAATAAATATCCAAAATAGAATACGATGTCAGAGGATGTCTGGTACCAGGGAGCAGAGTTCGATATTGGGTCCCCAGGCGGGGCTGGGGTAGGTGGTATCAGGTCAGGGTCTGGAGGTGTAAGTGGTCTACAGTTGATTTACGTTAGAATAGTTATTGTCCGCCTAACAGAAATCTGGGCCCATGATGAAAACTTGGGTCTTGTGAGATTTCCAAACCCTGATATCTATTGCTGTGCCCAACTTACTCTGTCAAATCTTCACATGTGAGATGATACTGTAATCCATTTATTTCTTCTTTCAATCCCTGTGTTGGGCAAAAAAGCAAGAACATTTATTTAAGACCATAGAGTCATATAGCATGCAAACAGACCCTTCAGCCCAACTAGTCAACGCTTAACATATTCCCAAACTAAATTAGTCCCAACTGCCTGCACTCGGCCCATATCCCTCCAAACCTTTCCTATACATGTACTCATTCAAATGTATTTTAATTGTTTTAATTGCACCCGCACACATCTGGCAGTTCATTCCACACATAAACCATTCTCCCTCTAAAAAAATTTGTCTCTCAAGTCCTCTTCAAATCTTTCGCATCTCACCTTAAAAATATGCCCCCTAGTTTCGAAAACCCCACCCTGGAGAAAAGACCCTTGTTATTCACCTTATCTATGCCCCTCATGATTTTATAAACCTCCATAAGGTCACCTCTCAACCTCCTTTGCTCCAGTGAAAAAAGTCCCAGTCCTACCAGTCTATTTTTATATCTCAAACCCTCCATTCCCAGCAACGTTCTGGTAAATCTTTTCTGAACATCCCTCCAGCTTAATAATACCCTTCCTATAACAGGACAGCCAAGTATATTTATTAATTAATTAAGTATTACCAAGGAAGTTGTCTGTCACAGAATTCCATAATCAGGTAGGTTTCTAGTTACCATGTATATTCCTTTGTTTCTCTAGTTAAGCAGAAATGGTGACCTTAACTGGCAGTCACGATTCAGAACCCTCCTGGGAAATTTGTATATTTTATACTGCATTTGTCGGTGGAGATTTTTATTGCTTATCGGGCAGGTTTGCAATTTTGATGGTTCAGCTAATAGCTCACAACACAGATCACAGCAGGGTCTCTGTTCAACTTTTAGGATGAGTGCTGATAGCAGGTCAGCATTTGTTGTTCATGCCATTGAAATGTACATCCAGCTATGGTATTTCAAAGGTTGGCTAAAAGTCAGACACATTGCTGTGGATCTGGAGTCACATAGGCCAGACCAGGTAAGTTTGATAAACTTCCTCCCCCAGAGGACTCTAATGAATTGGGTTGATTCTTACGACTATCAACAATACTTTCAAGGTCACCATTACTGGGATTAATTTTCTGTTCCAGATCGTAATGTTTGAATGAACTGAAATTTATTAAAATGAATTAAAGGGTGGCACAGTGGCTAACACTGCTGCCTCACAGCATCAGAGACCCGGGTTCAATTCCAGTTTTGGGTGATTATCTGTGTAGAGTTTACACATTCTCTCCATGTTTGCATGGGTTTGCACCCACAGTTCAAAGGTGCACAGGTTAGGTGGATTGGCTGTGCTGAATTGCCCCATAGTGTCCAGGGATATGACGACCAGATGGATTAACCATGGCAAATGTGGGATTCTGGGACAAGGTGGGGAGCTAGGTCTGGGTGGGATGCTCTTTGGAGGGTTGATCCAGAATTGATGGGGAGAATGGCCCCTTTCTGCACTGTACGGACTCTATAATTCTATAAATTGAAATTTTATCAGCTACTGTGGTGTGATTTGAATTTATGTCCCGAGGGCATCAGCCTGAGTCAGTGACATTACCACTACACCACCATCGCCCTCGGAGAATGCACAGGAAACAGTCAGCTGCCAAGCTGTGTTTAAACTGAAACCAGGCCAGTCAACACTGATTGGTCAAGGCAATGGCACAGAGAATGCAATAAGGAATGGTTGTTCCCCTAGCTTTGAAAAAGGCACAATGCACAGTCACGGCATTCTCAATGGGAGTCTCTACCAGTGAGAACCCACTTGTGAATCAATCAGCATCCTTTTCTCAAGCAGTATAAATTCTTGTTCCCTTTGAGATTTAGTATTCTTACAATTCTGTCCTGAGGAGTGCATAACAAAAAACTTTGATGGCATATCTCTTTATCCAAGAATACTCAAGAATGTATATTTGTTATAAACCATGTATCAGTTCTTTAAATGTTAGCCACTATCAGTCCAACTTTTTATGTAGATTCCCAATCTCACAGCTGATTTGCCCCTCATACCTTCATAGTTTCCTTTGTTTAGATTTAATACCCACTTTCAAGTTGAACTACATCACTTAACGAAAAACTCTAACATATTCCTAGAGGTGCATTTACGACAAGATTATTTATTACCTCATTCTCATTGCACGTTATTGATCTAAAATAGCCTGTTCCCTGAATAGTTCTTCAACATACTGTTGTAGAAAACTAGCTTGTATCCATTCCAGGAATCTGCCCTCTACAGCTTTATAGGCTAATTCAGTCAATATGAAGAGTGAACCTTCCCATGGTTAAATCCAACACTCAGATAAAAAAATACTTTTTTTCTCTTAGCAACCTTGATTGATTCACAACGTATTTTCAACATTCTTATATTAGGGGAGTACAAATTTGGTTTTTGACTGTCACAGGTCTGATTAAGTCTTCCATCATTCTGAACATGTCTGAAAATGCTTCAACAGCAAATATATCAATCCTGATGTGAAGTAAATATTTTCATTTCAGTTTTTTTAAAGTGCTTGTTGATCCTTTGTACTTTGGTGTTATTTTACCTTAATGATGCTACTGTATTCATCCACAGTTGATTTCAGTTCTACTGACTGGTTTATTTTCTGTAAAATAACAATTGACAGCCATCTCAAACTACAATAATGTCAACTAATTCATATGACAATTTTTATGCCAAACCACTTGAGAAACCTTGAAATCTATCAATCAATTTATGACCCATGGATAAAAAGTGGATTCTATTCTTTGACTTGTACATCCCTGTTTTGTTTTCTATTCATTTTTTTCTGATTATTATAATGTCATTTTACTGTTCTTTCATGTTTCTTGTTTTGTTATTATTCCAGAACCCTCTCTCTCACGAGATGCTACTTGTGGAGATTTGGTAATAAATGCAACTACAGTAAAAGAACTCTACTCTTGAATCCAATGTCCAATTTTACATATTCCATTCTACAGTATCCAACATGTCAAGCTCCCCATTTCAATAAGATCATTTGTGATTTTTCTAAACTCCAAAAGGTGTAGGCCTAACTGGCTTAATTGTTTTTCATTAAGTAATGCCAGAGGTGGGGGAGTTGCATTACTGATTAGGGACCATATCACACTGTGTTGAGGGAGGACACCTGGAATGATCTTGCAGTGAGGCATTATAGGTAGAGTTCAGGAATAGGACGGGTGCAGTCACAATGCTGGAATTGTACCACAGACCTCCCAGCTGCCAGCGGGAAATAGAGGAAGAAATATGTAAACAGATTCTGGAAAAATATGAAAATAGCAGGGTTGTTTTGGTGGGTGATATTGACTGGGCCTCCCATAGTGCCAGGAGTTTGGATGGGGAGCAATTTGTTAGGTGTCTCCAGGAGGGCTTTTTGAAACAGTATGTGCCTAGTCCAATGAGGGAGGGGGCCACACTGGACCTGGTATTGGGAAATGAGACTGGCCAGATGATCAAAGTTTCAGTCAGGGAGCATTTTGGCAAGAGTGACCATAATTCCGTAAGTTTGGATATTTATGGATGAGGACAAGAATGGACCTCAGATGAAGGTGTTAAACTGGAGAAAGGTTGACAATGACTGAATTAGGCAAGAATTGGAGAATGTGGATGAGCAGTGGCTGTTTGAGAGTAAATCTACATCTGACATGTGGGAATCTTTTAAAGACCAGTTGATTAGACTGCAGGGCAGACATATTCCTCTGAAAATGAAGGATAGAAATGGCAGGATTCAGGAACCTGGGATGACAGAGGAAATTATCAGCTTAATCAAAAAAAAGGAAGCATACCTAAGGTCTAGGCTACTAAAAACAGAAAGTCCTTGAAGAATATAGAGAAAGTAGGAAGCAGCTCAAACAGGAAGTTAAGAGGGCTAAAAGGAGCCATGAAATGTCCTTGGACAGCAAGTTAAAGGAGAATCCCAAGGCATTTCATACACATATTAGGAGGAAGAGGGTAGCTAGGGGAGTAGTAGGCCCACTCAACGATAGAGGAGGGAGGCTGTGTGTGAAGCAGATCCTTAATTTTAAAAAAAATTGTGGGATGTCAGTGTCGCTGGCTGGCCAGCATTTATTGACCATCCCTAGCTGCCCTTGAGAAGATGGTGGTGAGTTGCCTTCTCGAACCGCTGCAGCCAACCTGCTGTGGGTTGACACACAATGCCATTAGGGAAGGAATTCCAGAGATCTGACACAGCAACAGTGAAGAAGGATCGATGATATGTTTCAAAGTCAGGATAGTGAACGGCTTTGACGGAAACTTGAAGGTAGTGGAGTTCCGATATATCTGCTGCCCTTGTCCTTCTGGATAGAAGTGGTCATGGGTTTGGAAGGTGCTGTCTGGGAATCTTTGGTGAATTTCTGCAGTGCATCTTGTAGATGGTACACACTGCTGCTACTGAGTGTCATTCATGAGGGAGTGGATGCTTGTGGATATAGCGGGCTGCTTTGTCCTAGACGGTGTTAAGCTTCTTGAGTGTTGTTGGGGCTGCACCCATCCAGGCAGGCAGGGAGTATTCCATCACATTCCAGACTTGTGCTTTGTAGATGGTGGACAGGCTTTCAGGAATCAGGTAGTGAGTTACTTGCCGCTATATTCCAAGCCTCTGACCTGCTCTTGCTGCCACCAAGTTTATGTGGTGAGTCCAATTGAGTTTCTGGTCAATGGTAACTCCCAGGACATGGACAGTGGGGTATTCAATGATGGTAACATCATTGTATGTTAAGGGGAGGTGGTTAGATTTGTCTCTTATTAGTGATGGTCATAGCCTGGCATTTGAGTGGCACGAATGTTACATTCCACTTGTCAGCCCAAGCCTAGATATTGTCCAGATCTTGTTGCATTTGAACATGGACTGCTTCAGCAGCTGAGGAGTCGCAAATGGTGCTGGACATTGTCCAATTATCGGTGACCATACCCACTTCTGATCTTATGATGGAGTGAAGGATATTGATGAAGCACCTGAAGATGGGTGGCCCTAGGACAGTACCCTGAGGAACTCCTGCAGAGATATCCTGGAGCTGAGATGACTGACCTTCAACAACCACAACCATCTTCCTATGTGCCAGGTATGATTCCAACCATCGGAAAGTTTGCCCCTAACACCCATTGATTCCAGTTTTGCTAGGGCTCCTTGATGCCACACTCAATTGAATGCAACCTTTATGTCAAGGGCTGTTGCTGTCACCTCACCTCTGGAATTCAGCTCTCTTGTCCATGTTTGAACCAAGACTGTAATGAGGTCAGGAGCTGAGTGGCCCTGGCGGAACCCAAACTGGGCGTCACTGAGCAGGTTATTTCTGAGCAGGTGCTGATTGATAGCACTGTTGATGACACCTTCCATCGCTTTACTTCTCATTGAGAGTAGACTGATAGGCCGCTAATTGGCCAGGTTGGATTTGTCCTGCTTTTTATGTACAGGACATATCTGGGCAATTTTCCACATTGTCGGGTAGATGCCAGTGTTGTAACTGTACTGCAACAGCTTGGCTAGGGGAGCAAGTTCTGGAGCACTATTCTTCAGTACTATTGCCAGAATGTTGTCAGGACCCACAGATTGCAGCATCCAATGTCTCCAACTGTTTCTTGATATCATGTGGAGTGAACTGAATTGGCTGAAGACTGGTATCTGTAATGCTGGGGTCCACTGGAGGAGGTAGAAATGGATCATCCACTCAGCACTTCTGGCTGAAGATTGCTGCGATACAGCCTTATCTTTTGCGCTGATGTTCTGAGCTCTTCATTGAGGATGGGGATATTTGTGGAGCCTCCTCCTCCAGCGAGTTAAGCATCCATCACCATTCACATCTGGATGTGGCAGGATTGCACAGCTTGGATCTGATCCATTGGCTGTAGGATTGGTTAGCTTTGTGGATCACTTGCTGCTTATGCTGCTTTGCGTGCAAGTAGTCCTGTTTGGTGGCTTCACCAGGTTGATACCTCATATGCAGGAATGCCCTGGTGCTGCTCCTGGCATGGCCTCCTGCACTCTCCATTAAATCAGGGCTAATCCCATGGTTTGATGGTAATGGTTGAGTAGGGGATAAACTGGGACATGAGGTTACAGATTGCGCTGGAGCACAAATGAGTATATTACATCAGTATTCACCAAAGAGAGGGAGATGAGGGATGTTGAGGTTAGGAAAAGGTGTGTGAATACTCTCGGGCAGGTCAACATAATGAAGGAGAAAGTGTTGCATGTCTTGAAATGCATTAAGGTAGACAATTTCCCAGGGCCAGATGGGATCAATCCTCAAATACTGTGGGAAGCAAGGAAATAGCTGGGCCTTAACAGATATCTTTGCATCCTCTTTGGCCTCAGGCAAGGTCAAGAGGAGAATGGCTAACATTGTTCCTTTGTTTAAGAAGGGAAACAGATAATCCAGGTAATTACAGGCTGATGAGCCTGACATCATTGGTGGGAAAGCTGTTGGTGAAGTTAATGAGAGACAGGATTTATTTACATTTGGACGTGACTGGACTTGTTAGTCATAGCCAGTATGGGTTTGTGCAGGGAAGGTCATGTTTCACCAACTTGATTGAGTTTTTTGAGAAGGTAACAAGAATGATTAATGATGGAAGGGCAGTGGATGTTGTCTACATGGACCTTAGATAAGGCACCTCATTGCAAGCTGGTACAAAAAGTAGAGTTTCATGGGATCCGGGTGTGTTGGCCAGATGGATACAGAATTGGCTTGGTTATCATAGAAGACAGAGGATCAGCAGTGGAAGGACGTGTTTTGGAATGGAGATCAATAACTTTTGGTGTGCCGCAGGAATCAGTGCCGTTTCAATGAAGGCAAGCATGTTGTAAGCCTTCTTGACCACTTTACCCACCTGTGCTGCCACTTGCAGGGATCTGTGGACCTGTAAACCTAGATCCCTCTGAATATCAATACTCCTAAGGGTTCTGCCATTTGTTGTAAAATTCATACCTGAATTTGATCTTCCAAAATACATCACCTTGCATTTGTCCAGATTAAACTCTATCTGCCATTTCTCTGCCCAAATCTGCAATCTATGGATATCCCGCTGTATCCTTTGAAAATCCTCCTCACTATCTGCAACTCCGCTAATTTTGGTGTCATCCTCAAACTTATTAATCAGAGCACCTACATCTTCCTCCAGATCATTTACATATATTACAAACAACTACTTTTAAAGACCAGCCTCCAGCAGTCTTTAAGATTGATGGTTAGGCCTAATACAACGATGTGGAGCATATACAACTCAAATGCTATCCATTCTTAGCTGGATTTCTCATTTAAGGCTCTACAATGATGTATATGGAGGCGCCGGTGTTAGACTGGGGTGAACAAAGTCAGAAGTCACGAGACACCAGGTTATAGTCCAACAGGTTTATTTGACATCACAAGATTTCGGAATGCTGCTCCTTCATCAGGTGGACTATAACCTGGTATTGTGTGACTTCTGACAAAGTTCCACAATGACATAGATTGCTAATTTACATGTCAAAAGGAAATTAGTACCTGTTCCAAATGGGAGCCTTGGACAACTTTAAAGTCATTCAATGCAGTACAGTACCTGGCAGATTTCTGGTGCAGGTTGACCATAACGGGCCATATCATCAAATTCCAGTGCCTATGCCTGTTTATAGGTGTAAAACAGTCAACTTCCAATAGGTTGATTTACTGAAAACTACTTCTGGTTATTCATAAACATAATTGATATTTACTTCAAGAAACCTGATTAGTAACTGATGTGAATGCACATTTAGTGTAAAACAAGCCATCTTGGATAGACCCACCTCAGTTAGTAAGACATCCTTGATGGACAATAGTCTCTTGACTTCATACATCTCGCTCTTAAAAAAAAGCATTAACATTTTAGAGAATCATACTAAACTTTGCAGCAGCATCTTGTGGCAAGAAACTGAATATCATGGTAATACGACAATTAGCTTGGATGGCTAGTTGGTGATGCACAGCGCCACCAACAAATGGGTTCAATTCCCACACCAGCTCTTGTTATATGAAGGACTCTCCTACTCAACTTTTCCTCTCGCTCAAGGCATGGTGACTGTCAGGTTAAACCACCAACACCAGAAAAGAAGAGCATGGATGTACTGCTGAGGTTATACAAGACTCTGGTCAGACCGCATTTAGAATATTGCAAGCTGTTTTGGGCTCCACATCTCAGGAAGGATGTGCTAGCATTGGAGGGGGTCCAGAGGAAATCTACAAGAATGATCCTGGGGATCAAGGGCTTGTCATATGAGGAGAGGTTGAGGACTCCAGTATGTCTGTATGAATGAGATCTGCTCTCAAATGGAGTTTAGAAGGACAGAGGGGGATCTGATTGAAACTTACAGAAAACTGACAGGCTTGGACACAGTGGATGTTGAGAAGATGTTTCCACTAGGAGGAGAAACTAGGACCCAAGCCTTACAGTGAAGGGACGACCCTTTAGAACTGAGATGAGAAGAATTTCTTCAGCGAAAGAGTGGTGAATCTGTGCAACTCATTGCAGCAGAGGATGTGAAAGCCAAGTCATTGAGTGTATTTAAGATAGAGATAGATAGGTTCTTGATTGGTAAGGGGATCAAGGGTTACGGGAAGAAGGCAGGAGAATGAGATTGAGAAATACGTCAACCACGACTGAATTGTAGAGCAGACTCAATGGGCTGAATGGCCTAATTCTCCTCCTATATCTTATGGTTTTAAGATCTCTCTTAAATGAGAGACCAGCCCTATGACCTGGTAAGACTATGTTGACTTTAGTTCCATTTCGCTTATCGTTCTCCTGATCATTCATTGTTTCAGTAGATAATCTGATAACACTTCAAGAAGGACCGTCAGCACCATCTCTTCAGACTCTTGCAATTGTTCTGCCAAAGAACAATTGAGAGAGCCCTAACCTAGAGCCCATAAACAAAAATTTAACTCACCCTTTTATAAAGGATAAACAGCAATAATATATTTTCAATTTGACATTCAAAAATTTTGCTTTCACTCTTTTGGGAAATTCTAAATCAACAATCTTAATATTGATTATAACCAACCAGACAATAAATACCTAAGGCAGAATCTTATCATGGTCTGAGATACCTGGGCTACGGTAAGATTTGCGATAGAATCGCACCAGAAGTCCCACAGGGCCTATCTCAATGTCAGCAGCATCTCCTGTCTTCTTTTATGCATTTGCCCAGCAGCATGTTTTTGCCTAAGCAGTAGCCAGTTGCCAATTATAGCTTGTTCAATGTCTTATTAATGCCAGAACCCACCTTATAAATATTCAGCTTCCTATCTGACCAAACACACCAAACGAGGTAGACACGAAGAGTTCTCGACATGGAAGCCAGAGTGGATACTTGGCAACTTCAGCTGGCCACTTGCTCCAAAGGGCTTTCAAGCTAGAGAGCTTTTAAAGATGGCACTGGTGCCAGGCATGTGATGTGAAGGACATAATAGGGTGGGCCAGGTAGTTAATAAGGTGAATTTGGTAAAATATAGCGAGAAAACGCAGTCGGCCCACTGGTGAAAACCCTTTAAAAAATTCATTCAAATTCACACTTAACCAACAAAATATTTGTACCTGCTGCTGTAGTTGGTCTCAGCCAGAGCAACACAATAGGGAAAATGAATAATACACATTAAAGAGGGTTTCCACTCCCAGCTGCTACTCAGCAACCATTTCTAGAACTCCAAAAATTTGGTCAATAGTCTCTAATGGGATCAGATTTTACCTTGACATCTTCACAGTGAGAACGCGCAGAGCATCACTATCAACCACAGTCCTATTCTTACCCAACATTTATACTTATGGCCAAAACAGCAGCAAACCCTAAAGTGAAATGGCAGGGATATAGTAATAACTTGCTGCACCAAAAAAAAAATCAATCTTAGAAACTGCCAGAAAGTCTTTTTTTCCATTTTCCTAACACTGCAGTGGCACACCTTCAGCTCAACCTTTTCCGATATCAGTTCTTCAATTCTCCAGTGTGCGTAGTCTTTCTCAGCTGTTAGTTTTCCATTCTGCATTGGATGCAAGAAAGTGAAACCTTACATTTTTGATATATCAAATTTCAACCTTAAATCCATTAGACATTTTTTAAAATTGTTATATATTTTCCCAACAAATCTCCTGTGGGATTTTTTTTCATGTGTTAACCACCAGCAGTAAATCACATGTTTGCCAGTTGAAGAATTTATGTGCAAAGCCTGTTAAGGTACTTGCACGTTAAACAAACCATCAAAGATGAGGGAGAGGGGGAACAGGATTAAATCAATATGGAGTTGGAAGGGCGATAAAACACTCCCCCCCTGCAATATTATCATATTTTATTTTATTAGGAAACAGACAGTAGTGATTAATGGATGTTTTTCAAACTGAGGCAACATTTGCTGCAGTTATCCAGGAGTCAGCATTGGCACTCTTTCTTTTCCTGATATATACTAAGCAGAATTTAGGAAACAGGGCATAATTTCAAAATTTATACATAATTCAATGCTTGGGGGCACTGTGAACTGTGAGAATAATGCAATACTTCAAAAGGAGGTGAAATGCGCTGACAAGTGGCAAATGAAATTACATACAAAGATATGAATCAGGAGCAGAAGTCCATTCAGTGCCTCAAGTCTGCTCCATCATTCAATATTAATCAATTAAAATCTTCTAACTGATTAAACATTTAACAGCATTTTAGGTTTGCTTAGTACATGCTCATCAGTGGTGTGGCCCTTTTATCTTTTAACTTATAAATTTTGTGTCTGATACTACCTCTCTCACTAACACCTAAAGAAGGAATAAGACTCCGAAAGCTTGTGTTTTCAAATAAACCTGTTGGACTATAACCTGGTGTCTTGTGATTTCTGACATCATTCAATAAGATTATGGCTGATCTGGTTACTCCACATTGCCAGCTATCCTGATAACCTTTCACCTCCCTTGCTAATCAAGAATCTATCTATCTATCTGTCTATCCTATTTAAAGTTCAGTGAGGAGTTGTGCAAAATGATTCATCTTGGTTGGAAGAACACAGAGACTGTATTAAACAAAGGAGGTGCATGAGTATGGGAACCTAGATGTGTACGTGCATCAGTCACTGAAGGTGGCAGAAGAAGTTGACAGCGCAATTAATAAAACACAGACTAACCTAATCTCTATTAGTAGGGACTTGGAGTACTGAGTCGACCTCAACTGAAGTACTGTGTTCAATTCTGGAAAGAAGTGAGGGCATCAGACAGAATGCAGAAAAGGTTCATTGGAATGGAACCAGGAATAACGCACTTTAGTTATATAAATAGATTAGAGAGTTCAGGATTGTTTTCTTAATGAAGTCTGAGAGAAGAATTGAGAGGTATTCAAATTGTGAAAGGTTGGGACAGAGTAGATCAGGATTAACTGTTCTCACTGGCGGAAGAAGCAAAAATGAAACGGTGCAGATTATGGTAATTGGCAAAAGAAGCATTAGGCAACATGAAGAAAAACTTCACACAGTAAGAGTTAAGGTCTAAAAGATGCTGTCCGAGTATGTGATGCTGGTTGATTCAATCAAGGAATTCAAAAGTGTATTCAACTGTTATCTGAAAAGGAAGAAAAAGGGAGAAGGTAAGAAAAGTACCACCGAATTGTTCATTCTGGGAAATAGTACAGACACAATGAGCCAAATGGCCTCCTTCTGTGCTATAACATTTCTGTGATTGTGATATTTGTTCTCATATTATTAATTATTTGCATCATTCCTATATATAAAGTAACAGATGATCTGTTATGAATTTTGATCATTGGCTAAATTGTTTTCTTAGATTTGGGCTCATTGATAGGCCAGCATTTATTATCTATCCCTAATTATCCTTGGGAAGGTTGTGATGAACTAACTTCTTGAACTAATGTGTAGGAATATCTACTGTGGTGTTAGTGTGAGAATTCCAGGGTTTTGATTCAGTGATGGTGAAAAACCAGCAATATTATTCCAAGTTAGGATCATGTGAGACTTGGAGGGGAAATTGAGATGGTGGTGCTCACATACATCTGCTACCCTCTTCCTTCTAGATGTTAAATCAGCCTTTCTACTTCTGTATTCGTAACCCAGTATAATTAAAACTTTCAAAGACCCTCAAAATTGACGTTAATGGTTCCTAGTTTGATTAATCAATCCCGAACTCTAAGAATAATCAATTCCAGGCAATGGTTTGTACCTTAAACAAAAGATTAGAAATTTATGAACAAAATAGAAACTTCTGCAGAGTAAAAGTAAGCAACAAAGTAATCTAATTGGTCAATGCTATAAAGCCAAAAAAACCCTTTGGTTTCACACAAAAGACAAATAGACTATTAGAGGATAAATAAAATAATATAACAAAACTGGCCAGATTACTTAAATGGTTTCCTCTATGTGTTGTTTCACTGGTACAGATGATTGTTTCTTGGTTGATTTTCTGAAGATGTCAATTGGGGCTCAGTTCACTCGCCTAAAGGCAACAAGAAAACTTGGTTTTCTATTCTCTGAGCTTCAAAGAGCTACTCGTGGAAGGTTAGGCAGGGAGCTTTCAAATCTCATGCTGTAGCATCAACAGCCAGACTTTTTTTTGTTTTGTAGACAGTCCAAAACCCAATCAAACTCTGGCCACTCCCTGAAAGACTGACCATCTCCTCCACAAGGTTACATTCATCGTTCAACATCTGTCGTCTGCTTGAGCATAAAGGTCTTTTCCAGGCTAGCTGGAACCAATTCAAAGAATAAAGAACAAAGAACAAAGAAAATTACAGCACAGGAACAGGCCCTTTGGCCTTCCAAGCCTGCGCCAATCCAGATCCTCTATCTAAACCTGTCACCTATTTTCCAAGGATCTGTATCCCTCTGCTCCCTGCCCATTCATGTATCTGTCTAGATACATCCTAAATGACGCTATCGTGCCCGCCTCTACCACCTCCACTGGCAACGTGTTCCAGGCACCCACCACCCTCTGCGTAAAGAACTTTCCACGCATATCTCCCTTAAGCTTTTCCCCTCTCACCTTGAAATCGTGACCCCTAGTAACTGAGAACCCCACTCTGGGAAAACGCTTCTTGCTATCCACCCTGTCTATACGTCTCATGATTTTGTAGACCTCAATCAGGTTCCCCCTCAACCTCCGTCTTTCTAATGTAAACAATCCTAATCTACTCAACTGCTCTTCATAGCTAGCACCCTCCATACCAGGCAACATCCTGGTGAATCTCCTCTGCACCCTCTCCAAAGCATCCACATCCTTTTGGTAATGTGGCGACCACAATTCCCAGGTACTGACCTTGTTAATAGCCAGCTTCTGCTTTCTGTTTAGACATACTGCTCAGCCCCGGTGACGAAGCACCTGCAGAACTTTGATCAGGAACCAAACTGCAATTAACTTCCATGCCTGGCCTCACAAATAAACAAAAGCTGGTTTGTTCTGTTTTCCTTTCAATACAAGATATCACCTGTAGTGACTGGAATGAGAGCCAGGTTTATCTTATTGAGTATGAGATCCTGATTGGGGCTGTTAAGCTGGGCCAATCAGACATAGCTGGCTGACAGATATAAACAGGAGTCTCAGAGATTCTCACTATCCTAGGGACTAGCTCTGAGCTAGCTAGTCAGAGTCCATGTACTGTGCACATGTAAATAAAGGGGTGACTTGGTGACAGGACACTTGCCTCCAGGAAGTTATTTCAGTGGTGATGAGAGAAAAAACAGAATGCTCCTGAAGAAAACTTTGCTTATAACAGTTGTCGTTGAGTTGGGGTAAGCATTTCTGGCATCATGCCTTTCTTTTGGAAGCTTGACTCATTCAACCCTGCCATCAAAGATTGGGCCCAGTCTCTGGAAAGATTGTTTTTTTTTTTCCACACAAATGACATTGGGGCAGATGAAAGGCAACAAGTAATTCTTCTGATTGTTTGTGGACCTGCAGCATTTTCAGTTATTAGGAGCCTAATGTTCCCTGAGACACCAGATAACAATATTATGATTCTAAGCCTCCTCTAATTCTGAGACGTTATCAGTTTTACTTGGCAATTCAAGAATCAGGGGAATCCGTATCAGGATTTTTCATGAGGTTAAGATGACTAGCAGCGGATTGTGATTTTGGGTTAACCCTGAAGGAGATGCTGAGAGACCATTTGATACGTGGGATTAATGATGTAACCATGCAAAAGCGCCTACTAGCTGAAGCCCAAATGGACTTCAAACAGGCACTGCAACTGCCTCAGTCATTAGACATTAGACATGTGGCAAGCAGAGCATGAGAGTTACAGGATTTCCTGTAGGAAATGGACGCCCTCACCTGCCCAACTGAGCTTGGGGAACACCACTTGAGTGTAGGTAATCGCATAGCCTCACACAGTCCATTCTGGTTTTAAACTTTCTGGACACCCTTCCAGTCACTGCTGACAATATCTGACTGTGGACGCAAAAAGATCCAGTCCTGACTAAACTAAAACATCTGGTGGTAATGGGGGAAACAAAAGGGCCATCACAACCAGAAGTAAAACCTTTCCGGACCCAACAAGACCAGACAACCGTACAGGAGCAGAGGTAGTAGGAACTGCAGATGCTGGAGAATCCGAGACAACAAGGTGCAGGGCTGGATGAACACAGCAGGCCGAGCAGAAA